CGAAACTCGACCAAAAATATGTAATGTACAGACTTCTTGATTTTCACCCCACACTGTAAATAAAACATGTGAATGAAGTTTCTTCCATTTGTTTTGATTTTCTGTTAATATTTCGTTGTTATTTCGTCACCAGCATGGCAACCCATAAGATCCATGTTAATTTTTTCAAAATTTTCAAACTCATTTTTTGTGCTTATTTTTGTGCCTATTTTAATTTATAAAGGGATTCTGCACATCTAGAGGAAAATATCTTTCCAACAGAATGCGTAGATTTTCCCTGCGATGCAGACAAGCTGAGAAAAAAGGTTTTAAAGAAACATGCTTGCCTATTAATATATAGATAGATATTTCTATGTATCAACTAACTATTAGTACATTACTTATTCAATACTAGCTGTACCCGCGGGCTTTGCCCCGTTTTACTTCATAAGTGAGCTCGTTCGCATGGCTCAATCACGTCCTGGTTGAAGTTTGTTCGCTACGCTCACTCACCTTTAGAATGGAGCTCGTTCGCTACGCTAACTCGCCTCCAGGATGAAGTTTGTTCGCTACGCTCACTCACCTTTTGGTTCCAAATTAGCTGTTGTCATAGATTTAAAAAAAAATAATAGTGCTGCACCCTGTTGGTAATCCTTGTAAGTTTTTAATGCTTTTGCATATCATAGAATCAACTTTTTAGTTGAAACAGCTGACTAAATTATTTAATTCCCTTTTAATATGAATACTCATAAGGTTAACATGTGGAACTATAGAGCCACTGGGGCGGAGCCCGAAAGGATTTTTGAGATAAGAATATGCCTATATGTTAATCGGGAATGTGAGCTATCATCATGCCAAATTTCAGCAAAATCCGTCCAGTGGTTAACACATTGCGTGCGGGTCAGTCGCCGGCGACTGATTCCTTATCATTGAGATAAGTGGAATTTTCAAGAGTAAACATGACGGCCGCATTGAAAGAGTTAATGCGTTCACTTGTCACAAACATACATCCATACATACATCCATACATCCATACATCCAAACTTTCTCATTTATAATATTAGTAGGATAATGTAATTTTTCATCACTGCAACAATTAACTAGAGAAGACCATTTTTTTCTTTGTCTTTTTTAACAAAGAGGGAAAGAGGTATCAAAATTCAATGTTCTAATGATTTGTATGGTTTTCTTTCAATTTACAATATCAGACTATAGCTTAGCTTGTATCCAATGTTTCAGGCCATCTTCACAGGATTCCATCCGTCCATCTGTTAATAAATTAGCTTTAAAGATTCGTCCAAAGACACTGAAAGTTTTTCAAGCTAGTCTCAAAGGTGTTTAGAAAATAGGTAAGATTGTCTTAGATTTTTTAAATAGTGTGTATTTTTAGATTGTTTATAGCTTTGTGCTTTTTTAAAAATATTTTACCTAATTTTAGTACCATGTTTTAATCCCTTGTGATGTTTTTATTTAAAAAGTGTTTTAAAGCATTGCTTACTTTTACTTTATTTTTTGTCAATGATATTTTTTTATGCACTTTATTGTTATTAAATTTATTCTACTTATATTTTCTGTTTTCCGGTTTATCTATTTTAGTTAATCATATATATTTAGTTTATTATGATCAACAAAAGTAAAAAACAAAAAAAATTTGGATATCTTAAAAACGAGAGGAAAATGTAACGAATTTCATTACAGAAAAAATCTTTGCTGAACTTGACTAAAACAGCTTTCTTAAAAAATAACACACACTTTTTATTAGTTACGTATAGTATCATTTGAACTTTTTTGTAAAAAAAATTATATTACCTACTACCAAGTTTGGGTTTTAGCCATTGAATACCTTAAAATTGCTTATCCACATTTCGTAACTTGTATCAAGTTTGGATCTTGGAGTGTTTTAAATTTTCAGTTAGATTCCCAATTAATAGAGTACAATAATGTTTAATACTTTAATACTTTTAAATGAAATGGCGACCATACAAAGTAGGTATTTTAACACGTTGACTGCGCGCGCCGACTTTAGTCGGCGTCAGTCGGCGTCGCCAGCGTTCCCAGGTGGCGCGCGCCGACAAAAGTCGGCACCAGACCAACAGAAATATATTGAGTCAGTGTGAGCTTAGCCTCAGACGGAGACGTTATAATCGTTGCCAGCCTGCCAGCTTAGAATGCGAGCTTTACTTTGGTGTAGGTTGGTACTAAAATTTCCCGTAAAATCCTGTCTGGCAATGCTTTTGTCCCGGTTTCGGGGATTTTTTCTCTTCAACCCACATTACAAAGACACTGGATACGGATCCGTGCAGTGCTGCTACCTTTGGGTGTTTCAGTGAACTACATCCACTCTCAGGGTAACGCAGCACAGTCACCACTGCTCTTTTGTGATTCGTCAGACTGAAATATTTGAATGCTAATTGCGTTCGCTGATTCGGTTGCGCGCCGGGGCTTCGCCCGCCACTGGGGAGCGCCTGTATAATCGGCGCGCGCAGTCAACGTGTTAAGCCAAGTATGAATGGAGATGAGTGTAGGATGAGTGGCGCGATCTTGTAGTCTTGTTAGTGACTAAGGCAGAGTTATTCCTTAGACATAGCTGTTAATTGATAGCCACAGCTTAATTATACTAGAATAAGGTGAAGGTTATTACCTCGTCTACAGTTCCAAAATTGTAGTTTGTACTTGAGTAGTGTAGTCACATGTTTCGGCAGAATGCCATTGTCAAACTGTCGTAGTACAGGAACATCAAAATCCACTTATTGTATCTTCGTCAGGTAGACATTTAGTTCACATACACACATGTGTCTGTTCCTGCTCGTGGTCAAGGCAATGTCGTACAAATCAGTAGGCCTACTTAAATGTATTTTATTATTCGTCAATCGTGTCTTCGTGTATGTGTCATCGTGTGTGTACGAACTAAATGCCTACCTGACAAAGCTACAATAAGTGGATTTTGATGTTCCTGTACTATGACAGTTTGACAATGGCGTCTGCCGAAACATGTAACTACACTACTAAAGTACAAAATAGAATTTTGGAACTGCAGACGAGGTAATAACCTTCACCTTATTCTAGTCTAAATAGCAGTTTCGGGGTTACAACAATGGATTTTAATGTTTGATTACTTCAGACAATAATATTGATTTGAGTTGAAAATTAGATTAAATAAGCGTAGATCTGATAAAGACAGAACAAAATTATAAACTGAAACCATACAATGGCAACCGATACAGCACTTTCACACTTGATCAGTTTTATATTAAAATTTGTCTAAAGCTTTATTTGTATAAGATATTTCGGTAGTGTTAAGAACATTTTGTATAAAATTTTACAATTTTTTATGTATTTTTGTAAATATTGTAGATTGTATATATTAATCTAATCTGTAAGGGAATCTGAAATCATCATAGTAGTAGCTTATAGAACTTTGTTGACATTATTTAACCTCAAGTGCTATTATCAATATTGTAAACCTTTTTTGAGTCTGGAGTGTTAATTAAAACCTTTTTTATAATGGACTTATTCATAAGGATTCTTAGAGTATTTTTTACAGTTCACTCTCAGGTATTGTATTTTATGAAATAAAGTATTTTTCAAATAAACTATCCACTTTGTTTTCTAAAACCCTTCCATTTATTTTATTTTTAAATATTTTTTTCGGGAAGGACTTTCTTAATACCTAAACATATTTCACATTTTGTTGTTAAGACTAAACCAAAATGCTAGTTTTAATGTCTATTGTATATTATAGAAATTGTAAATACCAAAAGTGGCTCAAGCAGTTGTCATATTATTGTTTACCAATTAAAATAAATCTCTGAACTAGACTTTCAATACTGGTAAAAAAAAAACAAAATACATTCCTCATATATTTTTGTTGTTGTTATACACAGCTTAAGTGCAAACTAGTGTACATGTTGCTCGAATTCGAGCAATTGCAAAGTATTACAGAAGTTATTTCAAAACGAATAACAGTCATATTTGCAATGAGTTTTAGAGAGTCAACTCAAAGATTACCGGTGTGTAACTCATGGAAATACTCAGGATGTATGTAACAGTTCAATGTAATCAACATTTCCTGTAAATATTTTATCATTTTTCATAAGCTGATATTGTTTTTTAGTGTTTTCTACAAACATTTCCTGACTCATATCCGCATAAGGTTGTCCATGTTTATCTTTGTTATTATTAAAACTTTTTTGTTGTTAAATTTTAATAGTTTAGTAATAAACAAATGCATTGTAAAAATTTTATCAAAATATGTTAGGCATAAACAAGCAAGCTACAACAGTTTACTTATTCTCTATAAGAATAACATCAAAATTTTAAAATTCGAATATTTTGGAATTTTCTCCGTAACCATTGGGCGCATAATAACGCTTCAATATACTAAATTATTTGTTTTTTTTTTACTCTACAAAATAGTTTGGAAAGAAATTGCTAAATTTTATGTTTTTTAAATCAAAAATAGGAAAAACCAATTTTTACCCCATAAAACCCCCGTTCCCGTAGTCCGATCATGCTGCTTCCTGAACTCGTTCGAATAAATGTAGGTTTACACGTTTATACCCGATTGGATAATTTTTTTTTCCTTTTTTTTTCGTATCTACGTCAGTGGTATTTTTGTAATGATGTCAAACACTTTTAAGGGAAAGCGGTCCAAACCCATTAAAGTTTTGTGGATGTTCCGGGGACTGAACCCGTCCCTCCCGCACCGAAGTCCGAGACGCTAACCATTAGGCTAGCAACACACCCAACTCGATCTTTGTTCGAGCTATCGTGCTAACGGACACATATAGATATATACATATATATATGAATTTGAACGAATGGTGTTTTTCTCTAGGGACCTCAAAACGAAAAAGTAAATCCGTCCCGGGTCCAGGTCTTACCATGAGTACTACGGTAATAGCTTTTTCCCTATATGGTAAATTCGCTAAAAGTATGACTTAATCCTTTTACCTTCTAAATTTTTGGTATTGATAGGGATAAATAACTGAAACCTGTTTACAAACTTTATTACAGACTTTCAACATTTCTGTTTTGTTTCCACAATTAATCGTACTGATGTTTGATAATCAGAGCCAAAACCCCTGTTGCCACCCCACTGAAATGGAGGTCACATTTCCTGTGCGGACGTTCCCTGGAAAATAATATCAGAACTGAAGAGTCTGTGTAAAAAAGTACAATGATAAGTAACAGTTTTAAACTTCCCGAGTCTCAAAATACTTAAATAATTTAACTACCTATTAAATATTACAAATCAGTACACTTTGTAATAGATAAAATTATCCATCGCTGCAAACTGTTACTGCCTGTACACCGGAGTTTACAACACATATCTTTGAAAACCTACGACAATCCAAAGAACACTATTTTTTTGATTAAATCAATTTGACACAGCTTTTAGACTACTAATTGTAATGTTATAAAAAAACTGTGTATTGATAATGAGTAATACCTCTCTCTCTACCTTATCTTACACAGAAATATTAAACATTTCATCCAACTAAATACTGCTGTTTTTGTTATATAGTTGTGTCACAAGCTCCACAAACCAAATGATACACTGATATTTGAAATAGGCCACTCCCACAAGCTCTGAATATGAATTTGTTAGTTGCTCACTTGACCTGGGACCGAACCCTTGGTCTATGGTGCTGTGCCCTGGCTGGGGATAGGGAGATAATGCCTTAAGTCCATTTGACCACTGATCATACCCACCCAATTGATCAAAACCAGTAAACCCAATGCTGATGTAGAATTGTAGCTCTCAGTTTGCTGGACAAATATCAGATAAAATTGTCAACAGTTTTATTTGACTTATGCCGACTTAAATAATTGAAAGTGAAGATTTTGTTATGTTACTTTTGTTTTGATGTACACTACAGGGCTTGTATGATTAAGGATCCTATGTTAACCAATGGAAAAGTTGAATGAATTACCTGTGTGTGTATTTGGTGAAGCAACCTTTCACGTGTTGAAGAGAAGTGATCATTTTCATATTGTCACCCATGAACTCAGTGAATCCCAAAATACCACAGACAACGGCTGAGATGGACAAAGGAAGTTAGTAGAATAAATAATACTGTATAATAAATTGGGTGGTACTTTATCGACATAAATAAAAAAATTAAAAACTTGGGTGCAAGGTGTGCCAGAGTAATTATCTTGTTTAAAGGTTGTGTTTGAAAGAAATCAGATATAAAAGTATAAAGAATCATGTACCCAAAAAATCTTGGTCGTTAGGTAGGGCAACTAATTATATGAATTTCTAAATAGTCTGGATCTCAATTTTAAATATATTAAATAATGCTTTATCATTATACGTGAAGCTTACTAAGTTCCAGAATATGCATTTAAGTACACAGTTTGAACTAGTGATAGTAATTAAGCAAATGTTTGTTTTTAGTTTACTGTTAGGAAAGTTAGTGCTAGCAAAATTAATGTCCTCTTACAAGTACCAAAATATTATTGCTATCATCAAAGCTTGCCAAAATTCTAAGATTTATTTTCCTCAAGGTATGTTGAATGCTAGGTTTCATATCATCCTAATGATCACATACAGGAAATACCAATACAAATTGTTGATGCAAAAATAAAAGTTTTGCAAGGTTAGAGAAGTCTAAAGGTTTAAACTTTAAAATCCACTTTTTTACATTTCAAGTTTTTACTTCTTAACAATTGTTTTGCAAAGTTAGAATTTGATAAATAAATAATGCATCTAGCTTGATTCTCCCATAACAAAAGACCTAGTTTGTTTGTAGTGTTACTCATCAATTTGTGTTTGAATAGATGTTTTAACAGCTATAAACTAATTTTAATTATTAATATCAAGAAATTGATAGCTCTTAAGAGTATTTTTGTAGATGCTGATAACAGATTCACAAAATTTAGTCTAGAATAATTTAAAAAAACCAAGTATGCTTACTTTGCTCAAAGTACAAATCCCTGAATTCAGGGGGCAAGTTTTTTTCTTCCAGGTTGTGGTGTTCTTGAAAAGTCATGCTACACTTATGTTTCAAGATCTGCTCAGTAACTGTAGAATTAACCAGTTTAGTTGTGCATTTCTGTAAACAGAAATAAACTAAATTAAACTAATTAATAAGCAAGTATGGAAACTACTAAAGAAGGATATGTATGGAGAATTCAACATTATCAGGAATGGAGAGACCTGTTCAAGGAACCTGATATAATCGCAGAGGCTAAAAGCAGGAGGCTCCGCTGGATGGGCCACATCATTAGAAGAGAGAAAACCAGCACATTATATCAAATATGGAAAAGTGATCCACTGGGGAGAAGACCAGGAGGGAGACCGAAGAAACACTGGACGGATGAAGTAAAGAAGGATATTTCCAGGAAGCCAATGAAGATACCGTAAGATACAGGACGACGTGGAGGCAGTGTGTTGGTGAGGCCACTTGGGGACAAATGGCCATGGGAGTAAGTAAGTAATTAATAGGGAGGTAAAAAAGCTAGGGGTTAGGGGGTTAAAAAGAGCTATATCATGAAGACTAGAAAATTGTTAATTTAAAACAAACTGTTTTGGTTGACTTCCCTGTCAAGGTACTGAGTCCCATGACCCATTTTACTTTGTTTAAATAATCAACATGTTATCTCACCATCTAATTATTTTTCATGTAAATAAATAACACATATTTATAAAAACTTCTAATCTGTTAACTGACCTGGTTGAATATGATCCAGTACAGAACTTGATGAGTTATTAGATAATTTGTGGCATTATCTGACAATTCAGCAATGACACATCTAAAAACATCAGTGACAATTATACAATGTTATATCATTGACTGAAAGGTTATACCAATGAAACAAGCCCTTTGAGAAGCAAAGCAAAATGCTTATGGAGAATAGTCAAACTGGAATTTTTCTGCCGAAATGAGCACGGCGGCCACGCTACTCTATATCTCTCTCTAAGCAGATTCTTTGTCTCATTTAGTCAGCTGACTTGGCCACGTGCTCGCAATAGTCTACCTTTAGCGGCCGTCGTGGGAACTATCCGAAATTCGGAAATTCAAATATTCCCAGACTGAATTTTTAACAAAGGCATTGCGTTTCTTATAGGTTTTGTATTCATTGGTTATACTCAAAGATAATAACCAATGCGATATTATTAACAGCTGGAAAAATTCACATGCTGATAGTAATTTAATCTAGTGTAATAGAGTCATTACCAGACTAGACTTCCTTAATTTACACTTATTCTTAAACTAATTGTGGTTGCTGATGACAAGATTTATTTTAGTCTGTTCAGATTAGGTAAACTGCAATGGGACTTGCCTAATACCTGACTAGTAAACTTGCTTAGTGTAAGACTATGTGAGCTTTAAGCAAATTACCTAAACATAATTGATTGACTGTATGTATTTTTTTGTTATTGGGACATTACAATGTACTTGAGTACCTGGGTGGTGAGAGACATAGAGTGAGGAGAAGACTGATGCACTCATCAGAGAGTTGTGGATTGAGTGCAAGATCTTGTTTGGCCAAGTGTAGAGATGGAGATGGAGGAGGACTAAGCTGACATCCAGGACAAGTGCTCACATTCCAAAGCTTTGAGTCGAGTGCTAACGTCACTGGATCATGATTAATATATATTTTTCACCTTTACCCTTATTCTACTATTTTATGCCAGTATTTAATAATTCAATTATCCTGCTTATCTGTACCAAGTTCATTTTTTATGGGTACAACTTAAATAATAATAAGTTTATTCATTGTTTTTCGTATTTGTTTTTATATCTAGAAACAAGCTGTGTGCCCGTTCTACGCATGGAGATCTTGTAGTCAGTTGGAACCTTCTTATATTCAGAACAGCAGTTGGTTTGCATATTTCCAGATATTCTGGCAAAACTATTTTAGGACATACTAACCTATGAGGCATAGCCCTAAGGTAGCCCTATAATTGAAAGTTCCCTTCTACACTGGTTAAAAGTAGTTAAAATACTACCTCAACCTCACCATTGAACACTTCATTCGGGTTGACATTTTCATTAACAAATGTGCACTCGTCTTTTCCGTTCAGTGAAATACTGAGAAATAAGGACATTAAAGCGTTACCAACAGACATATACACAAAAATACAGAATTTAATTAGGGAATTTGTTATGCTTTAACCGTAGAAAAGTACATATAAAATTAGTATTTGAAATCTACAAATCTTTGTTATTGTCATCAAATTTTATTATAACAATTTATATTTGCTTAACCCGAAGATGACCCGAAATGGTGTCAAAATGACGGCATACTCAGGTCCGCTTTTATAAGCAGGCAGACTGGGCATATGCCCAGCAGGCACCCTCCACGACCGCTCGCCTGCACTAGGAAAAAAGGGGGGCGCTGCTTTTGGGTTTGCCCAGGGCTCCACTGACCCTTATTGCGGCCCTGGTAATGAAGTACTAAAGACGATTTAGATTGGTAATTAACAATACACAGGCCACGAACTATTGATACATAAAAAATGTAAAGCGTAAACAATTCATGATGGTTTGCCCAACAAAAGTTTTACTTAAATGTGTTATCATTTCATAGCATAAACAAACATTTTGGAATCCAGACAGAAAACCCAAAACTTGGAGTTAGACAGCAATTAAATTTAATACGATTGTTCCTACGTAAAAATGATTCTTGCTGCTACCACCAAGGAAAAGAACAAGAACTGAAAACCAAAGTTTAAAGCTAAGAACTAATAGTACATCCAACCAATTAAATGCGTTAACCAAGCCCCGAGGTTATTGATCCCCCTTGGTTCTGGATTTTCTTACTAAAAGTTATCGGAAATCAAAGTTATTTCCCATTAATTGCATTATTGAACAACTTTTAATGTAAACATATATCAGTGACAGTTTGAAAAACAACCTTATCCAAACAACGGTTGGTTATTTAATAGAGGACGTATTATCATAAAAATCACTCAAGGTTGGGTTTATGGACGTTTGTAATTTTATTTCATAAGTGTAGTTCCAAGGCCATGTATTCTAGGGAAAAGTACCGGTATCATTGATATCGGTACTTTTCGGCGGGTAGTAGAAACCGAAAGTGACACATTGGAAAAGCGAGTTTAGTATCATCCGTAAACCTCTATTACAATCACTCACTGCAGTTGTGATTTTTTTACTTTAGACTTTACACAAGCGCAATTGAAGCGCCGTCAATGAGTGGAAACCTTGTTTGTAAGCTATTGGCGATGATGATTTAAAAAATGTAAGTTTCCCAGCCCTAAAACACTGATTCAAGGTATTTTTCCCGGTTATCAAAACTCAAGAACAATTTGATACACAAAGAATCTCCGGTTCCTGACCTGGATGATGCCTAGTTATTTAATTTAATTTACTGTTGCACATTATTGCACTTGCGATTAATTAAATGCATTATGTAAGTAAAAAACGTTTTTGATCTCACTTGGTTTGGATTTGCTTCAAAACGTGATAGGAAATGGTTGTGGTATTTGTAAACAACATTTATGTAAAGATATCAGTGACAACTAGAAAAAATAATCTTGATCCAAACAGCTGTTCGTTATTTCATAGATGACGTATGTGATAAACATTGGGAGAAAACTTGATGAAAATCGCACAAAACTGGGTTTTTGTCCGTCATTTTATTTACAAAGTAGTGAGGTCATATCTTAATGGCTAAAGACACTCTTGCCAATACATTAAAATTATTTGAATCTTGATAGGTACTCCCCTTTTTCAGGAGATGGCTGAGTAAAAATACCTTCTGGGCTATGACAGATAGACAGACAGAAATTGATATAAGACTTATTTTGGCTCCTTAGTAAAAATAACCAAAAAATATATCATTCTGAGCAATTTACAGACAAAACTCTAAATATTGTTAAAAGTAAATCTAAACACATTTATTTTACTTACATGGTTCCTTGTTATCTTTTGCTCTGTCGATTAAATTCTCACATTTCTTACATAAAGCTTCAACTGTTGGCTGAATATGTTGTAAATGTTTTTCATGAACATGTTTCTCTAAAATCTCAAGTTGTGCTGAAATTCATATACGTACTTGGTTGGACTTTTTAATATAGTGTCAAATAAATTGAAAAATATTTTTACAACTAGGTATAAGTGTAAATATATGTTTTAAGTGTTATTAGACTAGACATATTGGTTATTTACTTTCCGTGAATTTAATAACACGTACAATGCTGGTGAAGAAATTATTTAATAATTTTTGGGCTAGCCTCTGAAAAGCTGGTTAAGTTTTTGCTTTAAATTTTGAATACAAATTTACCTATGACCGTCCAGTAGAAACTTACAACTAGCCTATTATTTTTAAAGATTTAAACATCTTGACAGCGTTAAAAACAATTATTAAAGGCTAAATAAGAAACCACTTATTAGAAATTTAATTACTAAATCATTCTTCTCCATTTAAACTTTTTCAAACCAAAGAAATTCAATAACAAAATTACCTTTTGCAATTGATACTCCGAGGATAAAATTCAAATCGGTAATTCCTTTTCTGATTCCAAAATCAAGAACTGCATCGAGATTGTTCAACAGATTTGAATAAGCAGAGCTTATGCTGAAAATAAGAAAAAATACTTTTAAATGCATAGCTTGAATCAGATTCAATAAACACTAAGGAACAATCACTGTAAAGAACAGTTGTCGAATGAAATTCAACATCAGTACTGGAGGGGTGGTGATGAAGAGGGATTAGGCTTATCAAGAAAAATCACCAGCATTGACTTTGTTTACCACGGAAAGATAGCCTCAGGAATTTAAAGATCTGCTTTAATTTTTCATTTAGATTGTCTAAGGATAATCATTTTGCTTGGGGCAAACAAATTAGATTTTTATAAAAAGCATACTGGACAGTTCTGTAAAGTAGTAGTTTTATAATTGGGTATTGTTAATATGATTACTTAAATATAACTGTATGAATGATTACAGATTGATGAATGAATGGATATATGGGACTGAGATTATATTTTTACATTATAAATCAATAATGCTTGTTAAGCTATAGAGGAACTCCGTTTACAAAATGTAGGTCGTTTGCGGGGAAGTTCCCCCTCTACTTTTTTTACTTTCTCCCGGTATGCTGTACTATATAGTTATGGAGAAAGTATTGTTTTCAAAATTTTCGAGTTTGAGTTTTGAGTTGATGTATCCGTTTTGGGTCCCCCTGAACCCAAAAAGTGGTTTTCAAAGTGATTTTTGTCCGTGTGAGTAAAATGTGTGTGTGCAGATTTTTTGTTGTATGCCGATCTGTCCCCGGAAAAATACCGCGGACTTAACTTCAAAATCCGAGAATCTTTTAGCCCTTGTAGTGGCACTTATGGCTTTCAGACAAGCTTTCGTAATGTCCGAGATTTGGTGCCCACCAGTAAATGGCTGCTGACTTGCGTGGCATATATGTGGTCATAGACTGATACAATCAGTTCCATCGTATACATTATACCAATGTCTTGGCGTCAGCACAGGTGCAGCAGAATTCTCCAACACTCCCCAAAAGATTACCTCGGGGGAACTTTCTCTGCATCCAGCTATCGGCAAAATAGTATCTCAGGGACTTGATGATCGATTATGGTGCCCATCAAGTGGCTATATAAAACACTATTTGAGTGAAAATTTAAAAACGTACGTTTTCATGTCCCTCGCCTTTTACTTCGTAGATACTGGATTTGTAGTTTATTATTATTTGTTTTAATATTTTTTGGGACGGGGGCAACATGTTACACACATTTATTTGGTTTTTAAAAAGTTTCTAGGTATTTTTTTCGTATTTTAAAAGTCTCGAAATTCACGACCATGACGCGTCCCTAGGCTACATTTTCCAACTTTCACGCTGTTTTTAGACTAATTATTCATGCCGAAATATATAAAGCCATATTTTTATGTCATCAGTGGTTATTAAACTTACAAAAAAGGAGCATATTATAATTTTATTGTCATTGGAAACTGACTACCATGACAAAATAAGTCTGTCCCTCGATTTGGCGTCACGACCATTTGGGAAAAATTTTCGGAGCACGACAGTGGCAAGCCTGGCGTCGATGGAGTCAGTTGGTTTTAGAGACTAGTTCGGGGTGTACGTCAGGATTGTAGTGCCGGTCGTTTCGAGTTGAAAGGAGGAATTACAAGATTAATAAAGGAAAGATTGTGTTTTTTGTAATTTTGGTGTGTCCATGACCGTACGTAGTCATTCGATGAAGTAGACATGGTGTTAATTTTTGTTTATAAGATACAGTATTTCAATTGCTAGATTAACCAAGAAGTCCACTTTGTATCCTCGAACATAAGGTGCAGGGCTACCGCCAGAACAGAGCCAAATAACACGTAATTTCACGACCAAAGTTTCACGACCATCGCGGATTTTTTCACGACCAATCCAGCCTTATGGATTATAGTATGTTTGGTCGTGACAATAACTTTAATGTAATTGTAATTTGAACAGTTTAGTTCAATTGAAACACTTATTTTTATTATAACTAACAGTATAATTGAAGGATTGTTTAGAAAGATTTAGATTATTTCAGAAAATTCACGACCGTACCGCTTGTCCCTGACCATCACGTTTATGATTCCTATCATAAAAATTTCAAAAACTAAAATATCGTCATATTTTAATGTTTTATACACAAAAGAAGCACACCTCTATACAAACATAACGATTTTTCGGGTCTCAGGTAAGTTTTTTCGGAGTTATACAAACTTAAAAAGATTTTATTGGCTTTTTTCAATTTTTTGAGTTTTTTTATTTTTTTCTAGAAAGACCAAATATACTAAAAGCTCAGTGACCTTTTTATTGTATAATGGTCATAAAAGTAAATTAGTTTACAGCAAAACATAGTTATAAAAATAATATTAACTATTTTTAATATTCATTAATCGTCTGTTATGGTCGTGACAGGATTTTGTGTTTTTCCACTAAAGATGCTCTTTAAAAAAAAAAAAAAATACCAAAGATATTGCGTTACCATGGACATTTTATGAAACTTCAAATGTTAATGAAATAAAAATAATAATACAAGTTTTGAAAAAAGGGGAAAAAAATTTGCAAAGTGCTTTTCCTGAAAACGTACGTTTTTAAATTTTCACTCATTTACAGATGTCCACTCTCCTTGTGTTCTTTGATGACTTTCCAGTTAGAGATCCCCCACTAAATTCCGTGATGCCCACACCGGGTGCCAGAAAATAGGTGTTTGGCACCCATTCAGGACAACGAGTTGGCCCTGGCTGTAAAGTTTAGGATTTTACCAATGAATTTGTAGAGGACATTCCCCACTAGACAGCGCTAGCGTTAAAATCACCAGTGGCAGTGATGACGTTGTTGCCAGTAACATTTTTCTATAGGCAGACAATCTTCGAAATTCCCTAACGGGCTTGTTGCGGTTAAGGTAGACACTGAGAAAACGTGATGTCTCTAGACCTGACCCAAACGAAGCTACAGCCGTGTCCGTGAGCCCGCACTGGTGATTCTATGCTGTTTCACACCTCGCCCAACAAGTGGCAGCGTTCTCAGAATCTGGGAACCAAAAACGTGGTTCACTGTGAAGGGTCTGATCACTGATCAGAAGAGCTTCTGTGCCGATTTCCTGAGCCAACAGATCTAAAGGTAGATTATCATAGAGAAATCCCACTTTTAAGGTCGAGTCCGGCCTTGAAAGTGCTGCATCGCCCAGTCCCGGTAATTTTGTGGTCCAATGAGGTGACATGTTGGCCTTTCTCTGTGTAAAAGGAACTGCTGTGCTGAGCAGTTTTTCCAATTGTGGCACAAACCGATGCACTGAAAACAATTCTTGGCTCGGTCAAGTTCCCTACAGTTTTGGGAGGAGTGATCAAACCCAAGGCATCGAATCGAATTGAAAGCATACATAGCAAGACCATTACTCTTCATCGGAGCCTACGATTGACCCGCCCATTCTCGGTTGTGTGCTAGGAGGATTAAACATTAAGGAGAGGACACGCTGTAGTTTCGTTGAAGCCAGCGGACTGGGGAGGGGGGGAGGTAGCACTACTCTCCCGCCCCCCTCTCATACTGCGTTGTATGAGTTACTAGAAGATTTGGTAACAGAAATATCAATTAACTATTTAAAAATTAGACTTCATCATGCTACGAAAATTAAAAAGTTAAATTCTAACCGTAATATTAGGAACCTATTAAGAGGAAAGTCATATTTATGAACCAATAGTACGTTCAAAGGTGAGTAATTTACACAAGATGACTTATTTTTTTGGAATTCTTTGTCCTTGTTTTTATTTTTTGCCATACTTGTATTGTGTATTATTTATAATACTCTAACCAGAGCGCGGGACTCCGGATCATGGGGTCCCGGGTTCAAATCCCGCCATATCAAGAATGGATTTTACTGTTCATAAATTAAAACTCAAATCATGAGTAGTACTGTATGTGTAATTTGAACATTTTCTTAAATAGAAATAAAATAAGTTTTAATCCTTTAAAAGAATGATAAACACACTTTGGCTGTCAGAAGACGCAATGATTGTTGAACATTTACACTTTTTACTGGAAGTTTCTTTGGGCAAACAGATCAAATATAGTTCAATATGATATTAAAATACCCCCGCCGCAGCAAACCTGCAGACTAAGCGAATTTCCATTTGACTGATTAGATTTACACTGAAATGTCTACTTAAAAATATAACATTTATTCCCTATTTAAATAGAATTAGTTTAACAAGTACTTAGGATTGCTGCATCAGGGAGGGTAAAACTGTTTTTAGCGAATTTCCCATATAGGGAATAAGCTATTACCGTAGTACTCATGGTAAGACCTGGACCCGAGACCGATCTAATTTTTCATTTTGAGGTCCCTAGAGGTCAAAAACACCATCCGTTCAAATTCATATATATATATATATATATATATATTTATATATATGTTTATATATATATTTATATATATATATATATATGTGTCCGTTAGCGCGATAACTCGAGCAAAAATGATCCGATTTTGATGAAATTTGGTACAAACGTGTAAACCTACGTTTATTCTAACGAGTTCGCGATCCAGCATAATCGGACCATGGGAACGGGGGTTTATGGGGGGTTTTATGGGGTAAAAATGGGTTTTTCCCATTTTTCAACCTAAAAACAAAAAATTTTGCGATTTCTTTCTAAACCGTTTTGTAGAGCTTAAAAAAAGAAATAATTTAGTATATTGAAGCGCTGTTGTATGCCTAACGGTCACGGAGAAAATTCAAAAATAGTGTAATTAAAAATTCCCATGTTATTCTTATGGAGAAAATGAAAATTGTTGTAGTTTACTTGTTTATGGGTATATATTGATAAAATTTGGCAAATTTATTTATTTCATCCTATACTATTGACGTATGGTCAAAAAACCCTTTTTACCTTCCCCGTAGCAGCAAACCTAAGCACTCGTTAAATCTAATGTTATTTAAATAGGGAATAATATGTCTTATTTATGGAAATATTTTAGTAAAAATGTAATCAGACGAGTTGAAATTCGCTTAGTCTGCAGGTTTGCTGCGGCGGGGGTATTTTTTTGTAAAATGTTAATAGTTAGTAAGAAATAAAAACATTTTCCAAATTTGATCAAAATATGTTCATAAACAAGCAAACTACAACAGTTTACTTATTCTCCATAAGAATAACATTAGAATTTAAAATTTACAATTTTTTGGAATTTTCTCCGTAACCATTAGGCGTATAATAACGCTTGAATATACTAAATTATTAATTATTAATTCAAACAACGCAGTATGAGAGGGGGGCGGGAGAGTAGTGCTGCCTCCCCCCCTCCCCAGTCCCCAGTACGCTGGCTTCAACGAAACTACAGCGTGTCCTCTCCTTAATAAATTATTAAATTATTTAACGATTCATCTCTAGTTAAAGCAGACAAAGGAAATACAACAGTCATAATAAAAAATTCTGATTATAAAGAAAAGGTACAAACTTTCATTGACAGTAACAATTTTTCCCTACTAACAAAAGATCCGACACAAGAATTCTCAAAAGCTACTAACAAAATAATATCACAAAGCAAACATCTCTCAAACCAAGAAAAATCTGATTTGAAAATAATAAATCCTAAAGTTCCAATGTTGAAAGGACTCCCTAAAACCCACAAAATTGATATACCAATAAGACCTATTGTAAATTTTAGATCAGCACCCACGTACAAACTTTGTAGATACTTAAATAATAAAATTAAAAACAGTCTTAATTGGGATACAAACTACAGCATAAAAAACAACATTGAACTTGTTAGCAAAATAAAAAATCAAGAAATACCAACACATTCAAAATTTATATCTTTTGATATCAAGGACATGTATACCAACATTCCCCCAAAAGAAACTTTGAAGATATTAAAACATGATTTAGAAAAGAGCAACATCCTTTCTGAACAAGAAATTAAAGAAATCACAAAACTGACAGAAACATGTCTAAACCAAAATTATTTTACGTTTGATCAAAAATTCTTCCAACAAAGAGAAGGCTTGGCAATGGGGTCCCCTTTATCTGGTTTGATAGCTGATATTTACATACATAATTTGGAAGAAAACAAAATTAACAATGATTTAAATCCATACCACTCAAAAATCAAATATTGGTACAGATATGTGGATGATGTAATTTGCCTTTTTGAAGGAAATGAAGAGGAAAGTAAAGAGTTTTTAAAATATTTGAACACATTGCCCAAGAAAATAAAATTTACCCAAGAAATTAACGATAATGAAATAAACTATCTCGACCTAACTATTTCAAAAAACATAAACAAACACGATTTCAAAATTTACAGAAAACCAACTCAATCAGACCTAATGATACCATCAAATTCTAACCATCCTTGGAAATACAAACTATCGCTGCTCTCAGATCCATGCTAAATCGTCTTTTGAACATTCCAATGACAAGAAAAATTACGAGATAGAATTAAACAAAATTAAATACTTAGCATCAAGGAATGGATATAAGCAAAACATTATCTACAATATGATTAGAAACATCAAAAGAAAGAAAAATCAAAATCAAGAAAACAAAGAAAGAAAGAAGAAAGAGAAATTCATTAGTATCCCATTCAATACAACTCTTAACAGGACTACAAGAAAAACTTTTCAAAATTCTGAATACAAAATTGGCTTTAAAACAAAAAATAACGCTTTCAACATGATAGCAAATAACATTAATACAAATAAAGAACATCAAGACATCTATGACAAATCTGGCATTTACAAAATTAACTGCACTGATTGTGAACACTTCTACATTGGTCAGACAGGACGCTCTTTTAAATCTAGATTCAAAGAACACATTCAAGCTCTTAAGAGTAACAACAGAACATCCATGAAATCAAACTTTGCTGAACACCTTTTATCGACCAACCACAATTACACAAATTTAAAAAACAACATGAAAATTCTAAAAGTTTTAAACAAAGGAAATCGAATGGATTCAACTGAAGAATATTTCATATACGAAGAAAATCTAAAAAATCCAAATCATATTTTAAATAGCCAAATTCCTTCAAGAAACCCAATCTTTGACCAAATTTTAAAATTAAATAATCAGTAACAAACAAGTTTTTCCAAATCCTGTCTAGTTCTATAAACCATCTGTATATATAAATCATATTTATTTACAAACTAACAATATAAACAATGGTTAAGTGTTTAATGTATTTTGAAGTTTGAAAATGGACTAATGTCCGAAACATGTCACTTCTTTTTTTTTATAAAATATAATATTCAGGGTGCTCAGTTGTACTTATTTACTTAAATATTTAATATATCAGCAGCCCTATTAAGTGAACACCTAAATTAAAATATATATATATATATATATATAATAATAATAATTGGAAACATTATAACAACATTAAGTACCCTTTTAAATTCATTTTAATTAAGAAATTAATTATTAGAAATTATTAGAAATTATTATAAATATATAAATATATATATATATATATGAATTTAAACGGATGGTGTTTTTGGCCTCTAGGGACCTCAAAACGAAAAAAAAAAATCGGTCCCGCGTCCAGGTCTTACCATGAGTACTACGGTAATAGCTTATTCCCTATATGGGAAATTCGCTAAAAATCAAGAATTTGATTGCAAAGAAATTGTCAACCAAATATCAACCGAATAAGGCAAACAAAGTGTCTATTTAATATAAAATTAAAAAAGCTTTTTGATTATGTATAACATGTAGACATTTGACAAGCCAAAATTTAGCAAATCCTAAAAAAACTTCGAAATAAACGGATTTTTTAATAATTTTTCTCTTTAGTCTCCTGAAACTAAATAATTACTCAATTTAACAATTGATCAAATCAATAATAATTTTTTTTTAACATTCTAAGAGGCTTATAATAATATGCGCTATAATAAGGTGCTAAATCCAAATTTTCGACCTCGGCGACCTTCCGGATCACCTCCAAAAAGCTTAAATATTGGCAGAATTTCGCACTATTTTTAAGTTTGTGTGATTTTGACCCTGAAGCATCACTTTTTCATAAAGAACAACCATAATCATTTTTAAAGTACATTAAATTACCTATTGTTTAAGACCAAAATAGTTAATACAGGCCTAATAGTTTTCAAGATATGACCCAGCAAACAACGGCTAAAATTATCAAATTTTGAACTTGTTTTAAGTTTGGCTACGTTAACCCCAAAGCATAATTTTTTTACTATTTTTCATTAAAACAGCCATAATTAC